CATCAAAACTTCATGAATTAAAGGTTGATTGGTTTGCATTTTAAGATAATAAAGTCTCAGTAATAACATATGAATCAAGTGATAATGTCGAACTAACGAGTGGTTCTGGTGAAAGAAAGATATATCTTACAATTGATCATAGATTAAAATATGCAACAAATGGTATAATATCCTTAATTGGTTATATACATTTATAAAGTGAAGTAGTTATGGAAACTAAAGTAATTTATTTTATACTATAGAATTATTGATTGAACAAATAGATAAGAAATCGATGACAGTTTCAGTTAGGACATATAATACAGGTTAATTATAATATGTTAAAATGAATATTCTTTTGGGAACTGATCAATCATTATGGACATCTCCAGCTAGATCTACAATTTTTAACCCTCATTTTTCTGCACTTAATTATTAATATACCAATCACCTTATGACGTTTTAGATACCATCAACTTACTAAAGTGTTGGAAACATTCCTATTATTACTCTAAGAGGTTATGAATTTGACACTCAATATCACCCTAGAATCTATTATGATTCTGTTACATTTAATACTAATCTAAACTATAATTTAGTTACATGTATTTAAATACTTATTATACATTAGGGTGGGATACTATAATACATGCAGTTTATGATTAATGTGCTATCTATATTCCTACTAATACAAAAATTTTTGAATAAAATTGTGTTGAAATCTTCTCTGAATGTGATTACGATGGTATTCTATTATTATTTGTGAGAAAATACCTGATTTAACTGAAAAAGGATGGAATTAACCTATTAGATCTCTGAGTATTCCAGCTTATAGAACATTATATCTCTTTGATAAGGAGAACTATACTGGTTTATAAACAAAATATATAGAAAACCAATAATGTATGGATAGTATTGTTGCTTTATCAGCAAACTTTTAACCTATTATTTCATTTATAAATGTTCTTTTTCTAAATACTAAATATTCTAATAATTGCTCAACTGTTACGTTTTATAGTGAATGCAATTATTTAGGATAATCCTTCTAAATTATACAAGGATATTCATTAAAACCAACACTCAAGATTCCTTTTTAAATTAAATCTATTCAAATTTGCCCAAACATAATTGTTAAATTAAAGGGAGCAAAATATTATGGAGGTACAACCTCACTCTTTACTACTTGGTAATCTTGTTTGGATAGATATAATGTATTTATTAATTATTATTATTAAGTTTCCTAAATATATTTAGCCCTGAGAATTATGGTTTATTGAATTTAATAAAATTATTAGTTAATTTAAATCCATTTCTTTCATTATTCATAATATATAAAACAATTTAATCAAAATAATTGTACGAAAAGTATTTACAATCATAGATATACTTCATAATTAATTAATATAATAATACTTAATTGATTTGATTTTAGAAAGCAACAGTTTATATAAGAAGTTCTAACACATCATAATCTTCCCACTAAACATTCATTTAATTTTATATTTGTTAAATGAAATAAATATTATATAAATTTGTATTATGAAAACTAATTTTAATAACTAAAATTAATCACATTTATTAGATAGGAATACTTATCTTTCAGAAGAATAATAATTAATTAAATTATTTTGGATTATACAGATACCATAATTTTTATAAAGAGACTATCTCATAGAATTGCAAATTACCGTTAACATTTTCTTACATATTTGGAGAAATTTAGATTAGTCTCTTATGGAGGTGAATATTCCTTGAAAGGTAAAAGACATCTATAACTTATGAAAAATGAATACTCCTTGACAGGTAAAAATTTTGGAAGATGGGATTAAAGTAAAAGAGCTGATGGAGAAAATACAATAATGTTAAAGTAATATTATATTAACGGTGGTGGATATAGGAGATTGAATAGATTTGAATGAATAATTTGATAGAAATTAATAAGTCATTTATAAAGTGAATAAAATTTTAAAGGAATAAAGGAAGATGGGATTAATTATATTTTAATAAAAATAGTAATATATATAGAGTATTTTTTTAGTGGTTGAAATTATGATGAGAATGAAGTAAAATATTGAAAAATGGCTCGAAATAGATTCTCCTATTAATAGTTATAGAGATGTAATAGCAAGGCTTGAATATAATCTGAAAAGTTAAAAATAGGAAAATGGACTATTTAAGGAATAGAATCAGGTTTTCCTTGTGAATGGCCAGTTGATAAGGAAATAATATATGATAATTGAAAAGTATTAATACATAGACAAGATAAATATACAGATAAAAATATCTTGAATTTATAATTTTGGGTTAACCTAATTATCCAATCTGAGAGACTATGATATTAACTGTAAGAGATAACCGTTGACCTTTTCTTAGATGATTTTTTGAAAAAAAAAATAATTGATATTAGATTTTTTTTCTAATTTAAAGTAAAAGTGGAATTTATAGAACCAAATTAAAACCGTTATTATACCAAAAAAAATATATGAGAAATAGTATTTTGACCATTATCAAGATTTTGTCTACAGAAATGTTCAAATATTTAGAAATTGAAACACTTACCCAAACATTTGAAAAAGAAAAAAACTTAAAATCATAATTTTTTTAAGAGTTACTGAAGATAAAAAATAATAATTAATAAGCCAAGCAATTAAATAGATTTTCTTCAAATAATAATCATTTATTTTACTTGAAAATATAATTTTGTAATTAATTTACTATAATTTACTATTCTAAGCTTTTAGACTTAGAAAATTAAATTGTGGATTAAAATATACTTCCTATTGTTAAGGTTTATTATAAATAGTTAATAATGCAGCAATCAATTTCATATACTAAGTGAATACTTAAATAATTCTATTATAAAATAAAGAAATAATAAAATTATATTCAACAAATTTAAGAACATGGCAATTATGGATAGAATTTAATAAATGTAAGAAGCATTGTATAAAATTGGATTCTTTTAAATTTACTCAGGGTGAATAATAAGAATAAACCAATTTTGATTGTAAAGGAAAATCAAAATCAATAACAAATTTATAAGATAGTGAAATAAAATTAGAGTTAATTGATGAAGCTATTAAATAAAGTCTTAGATATTCCGCAATAGTTTTTGATTCTTTTTGGTCATTTAAAGTATCAACTTAAGAGAATGATATTAAAGTATGGAGATTTCTAAATGGAAAAATTGAATTAATTAAAACATTGAATGCACATAAAATTGGATCTAATGTTTAGCTTGTAGTAAGAAAGTAATTCCTTAATTTCACATACTTTCAATACTATTCAATTTATCTTTGAAAAATCTCTATATTTGTATAATATCATTTCTGGATTGTGTAATACAAACTCTTTCATACGTTGATCTGGATAACTTAGTGTTGTGACACTTGATAGCTAATTTTCATATCACTAAGAATTAATAAGTTTAGTACTCATTAAAGTTTTCATCTAACTCCATCCATTTACCTTGTTTTACTCCATCGTAATCAAAAAATCCACTGATACTAAGGAGAAAAATAATTTCTATACATGATGTTTAAATCATCTTAACCCTCCTCTTTATAAAATATCTACCATGTTTCAATTTTTATTCCATTTTCATAAAATTCATGATAAGTTATTTAACGACTATTTATTATTCAAACTGCAAACCTTTCAAAATTAGAATGTATTTCATTCCAATAGCCATGCTTGATTCCATTTTCATTAAACCATCCATTCCCCCTTTTTTATCATAACAATATTTACAAATTCATCTTGTTTACTCTGTTGATACTTAGTTTCCCATTTTTTAATTTTCTTCCCATTTGAATATTTACCAATCGATATCACAGAAAATCTATCAATAATTACATAATAAAACTTAAAGGAAAATTATTCTATATTTGTCCATAAGCCTTTTTCTAATCCATTTTCATCATAACAGCCACCGCCACTAAACATTATCTAATAAAATTTACATCATATAATATTCATTCATTTCAGTTGAACCCTAAATAATATCCCATAAGCCATTTTTTTTTCCATTTTTATATTCTCCAATATAAGCAATTATGTCAAAACTAATTATATATATAAAATTACTCTTCTTATTTATTCTAAATTTCTATCCATTTACCATGTTTTATTCCTTCTTAATTATATAAACCTCCACCACTAGTAATTATAATTATATATACATAATTTTATAATCATCAGTATCGTACTTTTTAAATATAATATTCATCTATTTATCTTTAAACCTTTATTATATTTTCCAATGTGAGTAAATTTATAATAATTGTTTGAACTCAATTCCATCCATCTTCCAACTTTCACTCCTTCTTCATAAACCCTCCTCCACTTAATGAAAACTCTACAAAAATTACATAATCTCCTCATCATTTTCTTCTCTCAATAAAGTATTCCATTAATCATTTTTTAATCCTTTTTTATAAAAACCAGAAATTTTCACTTCATTTTTTCTATTTAGTATGAACATACTTAGAAAAATTTGTAATTAATTCCACCCATTATCCAATTTTCGTTTCATTCAAATCATATTCTCCTCCCCCACTTTTATATAAATATTACATTACATCACTTAAAAATAACTTTGATTTTTGTATCCCATCTTCCTATCTTTTTCCCTTCTTTATATTCATCACAGTAATGAGAAACCTGATCATGGCATCTACTATTTATTTTAATAAATACTGAGCCAACTTATCATTCAATTCAACCCACCAACCATTTTTTTATCCATAACAATCAGTTTTTCCTCCACTACTTAAATAAAAAAAATTATGCATTATTTCTGAAATCATTAAAATTTATTATTAACATCTTTGATATAATTTTAATTAATTAGTATTCATTTATATTGTTATAGTTAATGCCTGATAGTACAATCTAATTTAATAAATTGATATAGCCAATAGATTTCTCCTATTTATATAATTTGTTTTTTTTCATCTGGTTTTCTTTTCATTTTCAAAAGCTAACAATATAAATAGCAATAAAATTTTAAATGAACTGCTAAATTGCGTTGTTGATGATATATTTTTTTTCTGTATTTTCTAAACAATTAGAAAATTATGATTTAATTGTTTTTATTGTGATGTATTAAAGTAGATTCTGTATTAGTAATATTCACAATATATTGAAATAACCAATTCTAACATGATTCGTGATAAAATAAATCCTCTAAGATTATATATATTTTTCGGTCGCAACCACTTTAGGCTGGATCAAAATTTAATTAAAATATTTAAATTTTTGAATTGTGAATAATATATAATAATTAGAGCAAAGTTATGAATGAAAGTTGTTATTCCTGAAGTTGATGAACAAATTTATTCGTGCAATAAGATCCAATTACATATGTATTCTAAATACTTATGAATTTCTTATCAGATAATTTTCAATAAGTTGAAGATGAATCAACTAATTTAGTTTATATGACGATTGGATATTATGTAATATCCAATACTTAATTATTCTAAATTGGATTGAGATCGAAGAAATTCGATAATAATTTTATTAAATTTAACGATACAAGCATGATTAAGCTTTATCTTATCAATTATTTTTTATTAAGTAGTAC